GGGAGTGTTTCACAAAGGGCGGCGGCAGTGGGGACCAGCGAGTGCGCCCAGGTTTTCTCGTGGTCTGCGGGGAAAAGCCCGGCTTCCGGGTGCTGCGGGACGAAGGGACGCGGGAAGAGCCGCAACTGAAGCAGCGTGGCCACACCCCTTTATCTCGGCGGCGCACCGGGCTCCGCGCCCTTTATCGCGAGTGGCGGCCGGGCTCGTCCCTGGTCGGTCAGTTCAGTCGCTGCGGCGCCGTGCGCCTGTCCCACTTGCGCCCTGGTAGCGCGTCTTCGGGAGCTGCGGGAACACAGAGCTTAGACTCGCTAAAGTAAAACGTCCTGTGGGTGATTTATATCCTTGGTCCTGACCTCGCTCTCTACAGCGAGGCCTCCTCGTGAGGAGACAGACACTGTCGCGTGGGCATCTTATCCACAGTGCTTAACCTGGGTCCAGGTGGTTCTTAAACTGTTGAATGAATATCCCTAACCTGTTTTTACTCCTGGCCGTCAACTTTGCTGACCACCTTCCTGGTGTCCTTTGTTAGAATATTCTGCACATTAATTTATGTGACTGATGTGAAGATATGGGGACAAAATATGGAGCAGGTCTTTACCCTCCAGGGACATAAGAATATTGAAGGCTGATCAGATCTCCAATCACCTCACCAAGGGTAGGGCAGCTGGATAATAAAAGACAAGACAAGATCTTTACTACATACATGGTGATCCCAGGACGGTCAGAGCTCTTATCAGAAACTGTCTCCTGGAGTTTGCCACTATTTATTGAACACACTGCTTCTCGGAGGGGCAGAGGGCGGTGCACGGAACAGTGGAGTGGAGAGCTCTGACGCAAGCAGGGTCTTAGCAACAAAGGGAAAGAGGCATCCTAGCAGGACCAGATCATTGATTAATGGGAAATTTGTTCTTCCCATAGATGAATTTCTGCCTCTGTAGGAGTTTTGTGTAGGAGTCCTGCTGCCCTCAGCTGCACTATTGTCTTGCCATCCAGGACGCCACAGCGTCACGGATCACTGAGACCTCTGCTGTTACCAGTGATGTGAGGAGTTGTTCCTTTCCCACGCACCAACTGCTGGCTGTTCAGGCAACCATTGTGGGCTAACACGCACAATCAGACTTTGAATATGAAAAACCAATCTATGAATGTGCAGCTCAATCAGGGTGGTCTCCGTCATAACAGGAAGGCCCAAATAATGCACAAACCATGTGTCCTTAATGTAAAAAGCCGTGGTGAGGCAGAAGAGGGAGCCCTTGCCCATGGTTAAATAAGATATATATGTGTATCATTAAGGCAATTTAGTCCGAGAGTTAAGAGATACTGTGCTTCACTGTCAGACACTAGTGAAAATTTTAGAATCTCACCAAGTACATTACCCTGGGCAAGTTACTTAACCTTTTTGAACCTTAGTTCCTTATCGGCCAATTTCTGATATTATTATACTGTTCCTTTGAGAAATAAAATATATGTGAAGGTCCTGGCATCCATGAAGTACTCACTAAGGCTAGGTATGATGGCTCATTCCTGTAATCTTAGCAGTCTGGAAGGCTGAGGCAGGAGGATTGCCACAAGTTCAAGGCCAGCCTGAGCTACCCAATGAGTTCAAGGCAACTTTATGACTTAGGGAGACTATGTCTCAAACAAAAAACAAATTTTAAAAGGCTGGACATATGCTCAGTGCAAACGCCCTGGGTTCAAGCCCCAGTACTACAGATGGAAAAAAAGTCCTTAAATGGTTGGTCTTGACATGGTGGTACACACGTATAATCTTGACTTCTCAAGATGGCTGAGGTAGGATTACTTGAACTGGTGAATCCAAGACTGGCCTGGGTAACACAGCAAGACTCATCTCATTAGAAGAACAAAAGGTAGGTCTTAGGTGTTAAGTTTCTATTTATAAAATGTGTACCTATTTCTAAAAAACCAGATGTGAGAAAACAGGTATAGATGGAGAGATGATATCATAGTTGATAGTGCTTTATGATCTGCGTATTGTGTATATATGTGAAGCTGACTTAAGACCAGCAAGCCCTCTTGTTTTGTTTTGTTTGCTGTCATGGGGGTTGAGCCCGGGGCCTTGCACACGTTAAGCATTGCTTCTATCACTAAATTACACCCCAAGCCCCCCTTGTCATCCTCATTTAACTTCTTGATGATGTAGTCATCTGTGCCACTACCAACACCCATGACATTGTTTTTCTTGAAGTCTAAAACTGAAGTGTACTCCTTCTGTCCATTCTCTTTCAAGACAAGTTGCAAAGGGGGTGGGGATTTAGCTCAGTGGCACTGTACCTGCCTCAAAAGTGCAAGGTCCTGAGTTCAATCCCTAGTCCAAAAAAAAGTAAGGAAGAAAGGAAAGAAGGAAGGAAGGAAAGAGCGAGAGAAAGCAAGAAAGAAGGAAAGAAAGAAAAGGTGCAGAGTTTTTAAGGCCGATTGAAAGATTCCCTCCTTTGTCCTCTCTGTAGCTTCAAGCATCAAGGCTGTGTGCAGAAGAGAACCAACTACATAAGAGTCCAGCTGCATATAATTATTAATTAAAGTTAATGTCATCAAATAAGCCCTGATTACTCCCCACCTTCACCTGGACCATATCACTCTTTCATACGTCTTCTGGAGCCTTGTAGTCAACATCTTTTTCCCAACTCTGCCATTCCATTTTGTCTGGATCACCCTTAGTGAAAGGGTTCGCGTGCCCTTTCGGGTGCCCCTTCCCAATTAGGCCACTCACGCACCGAGAGGTCCGGCAGGAGATCTTTATTGTAGGGAGGCGAGCAGGAGGCAGGAAGGCAGAGAGAGAGGGAGAGAGAGAGAGAGAGAGGAAGAAGAAGCAGAAGGAGAGAGAAGAACAAAGAAAGGAAGGTCCTTTTATCAGTTTTGGGGTGGGCTATTGCTTATTTATGAGGAGTGAGCTACTTTTAACCTATCACAGGCCAGGTTGCTTTTTATGGATCCAGCCCTGCAGAAACAGGTTTCAACTTTCCTGGACCACTGTGGCCTTGGCGGGGAGGGAAACCAGAGATAAGGGCATGAGGTCATTTTAGGAGCCAAGATGTACCAGGAGAATGCAGCCTGTGAGGCGGCGTCACAGCATACTTTAACATGATCAATTCCCTAACATTTAGAGAAAGTGTTGGAGATAGAAGTGGAGGGAGGAATCTCAAGGCCACAGCCTCAGCATCACAGGCCTTTGTCCTAGTGGTCCTCTCAACAACATAATCTGGCCACACCAAAGCCACATCTTCCTCCCCTCACACATGGCTCTCACATGCTGTGAGAGTATTAGAGAGTCAAATGACAAAGTAAAGTCACCTCCATCTCCCACTGTCACCAGTCTGGAGGCCTAGCCTGGAGCAGTCAAAAGGACTGAAGGAATAAGTTTGCTCTGCTCTTGTCACTTGGCTCAGGAGACAAACAGCTCTGAAAACGGAAGAGCTGCACAGCAGGAATTCACAAAGGGGGATCCTTGTGTCTTCTGAAATTGCAGCCTCTGGACCCTCAAGTTATGCAGCATTAGCCAATTCTCACACCTCTAAATAGGAGTGGTACATGGATTTCTGCTTGCTGTGAGAGTATTAGAGAGTCAAATGACAAAGTAAAGCCACCTCCGTCTCACACTCACCAGATGGGACCCAAGGAAATCCCCCCCAAAGAGGAGCTAGGGATCTCAACTCATGCTCCTCGACACACCCACAGAACACATTCTTGACTTTTTTTGGGGGGGGAACTTGTGTCCTTGGCACTTGCGAGGCAGGCAACAGAACCACTGAGCTAAATCCCTAGCCCCACATTCTTGAGTCTTTATGAAATTGCAGGACTCATTGGTGAGAGGCATAAGCAGATTTATTACGTAAAATCAAAGAAGTACACACTTGGGAGGGGAGTGTGGGCACTCGAATGTTAGGGATACTACCGTCTTAGTTGGAGGTACTTTTGTGTTCTTGGAGGTGTCTTCAAGTAGATTATTGAGCCCTGGAATTTAGCTCAGTGGCACTGCACCTGCCTTGCAAGTGCAGGGTTCTGAGTTCAACCCCTGAAACCAGAAGAAAAAAAAAAAACAAGACAGATGATTGAGAATGTGTATACCTGGTAGCAGGCCACCCTTTCCTGGCCTGTGTTAAAATGCAGACCATGTGCATGTATTTGAAGTTTGGAGATACAGTACTCCAATTAGTGGTGCTATTTCCTTGGGGGTAAAAAATCTGTGGGATTTGTGAATTTATAGTGTGGAAGAAAAGCACAGGCCCAACATACATACTTATTTGATTTTAAAGACTCTTAGGAATTAGGAGTGAAAGACTTAGAAGGCCTGGAATGAAAACAGCATTGTAATCTTGGGTGACTTTGTATCTTGAAACTTCAGTTTGCTTAAAAGTATAATTGTAAAATTACAATTTCCTTATCTGTTTTCTTTCTACCTTTATTTCTTCTATCCTACCTCAATGCCACATTCTGTAGTCCCAATCCAGGCAGAGAAACTAGAGATTCAACAGAAGAATATTTTTCATCTTTTACCCACATACAGGAAATACGTAGCTCCTAAGTAAACATCATTGCTACGTTAGAAGGGAAAGAATGCAGCAGAAAAGTCTGGAGGCCTAGCCTGGAGCAGTCAAAATGACTGAGGGAATAAGTTTGTTCTGCCCTTGTCACTTGGCTCAGGAGACAAATAGTTCTGAAAACAGAAGAGCTGCACAGCAGGAATTCACAAAGGGGGATCCTTGTGTCTTCTGAAATTGCAGCCTCTGGGCCCTCAAGTTACACAGCATTTCTTAGCCCATTCTCACACCTCTAAATAGGAGTGGTAAATGGATCTTCTGCTTGCTGTGAGAGTATTAGAGAGTCAAATGACAAAGTGAAGTATTTTATAAGCGTAAAGCACTTACATAAATGTGAAGTATGATCATGCATTCCCCTGCGAGATCTTTGTGTTTCTTTGTTTTGTTTTGGTACTGGAGATCGAACTCAGGACCTTGCATTTGTGAGGCAGGTGGCGGAACCACTGAGCCAAACCCCCAGCCCACCAGATCTTTGTTGAATGCCTGTCATGAGATAGGTGCTGTGCAAGACACAAAATATACCACTGAACAACTTTAGTGCCAAGCCCTCAAGGTGCTTATGATCTAATCGGCGGAAATAGGAAGAAAACATAACTATAATACTGTGTCAGAAGAGTACAAATGATAAGAGTACAGGAGGAAGGAGCTAGCTAGAAGAAGGGTAAAGAGAGATGAAAAACTTTTTAGAGGAGGTTCAGAAGAATAACACATATGAGGGTCCAGCCCATTTCATGATTTTCTGTTATTCCTAAATCAACTCCAAAATAACTTCAACAAATTGCTCTGTTATGGGCTGTGAATTCTGCTTTGTTCTAATAAAACTCACATCTAAACCACTAGAAAAGAGTCTTTGATACAGCATCATTATATACACCCATTAGCTTTCAAGGATTAATGGAGGGAAAAATCAGTGGTATCTTAATTAAAAACATTTTGTTCTTAACAGCTTGTGTTTCAACACCCGAAGAGTAGCAAGAATTCCACCTCACAAGCTTAGTCCCCAATAATTCCATTCAGCCAGTCTTTCTGATCTAGGTAATACTGCTGATCAGAGTCCAAAAAACATTTGCAAAGCATGACAATAATACCTTTTTTAAATTTACGGTTTATTTATACTCTGCTATTTACAAAAAAAGACTCCCTAGCCTCCTCCTTGTGGTGGAGATCATGCATCCTAGGCACACACTCTATCACTGAATTACATCCCCAGCCCAAGATAGCTATTATCAGTCTGTTTGTCACCTTGTTCCTTACAAAGTAACTCCAAGTGAGTGTATCACTCATTCTCACATTTACTGAATGACACTGTGTATGATATACAATGCTATAATTACGGACTGTGCAGAGTACGTCCATGCCCACTGGGGGAGATGTCTGAAAACTAAAGATAGAGATAAATAACCATGAAAAGAAGCTAAATAATTAATAACTGTATCCCTCTATCTGTTGAGTAGATTCTATCCCTCTGTATTTGTTATTGGTTATACAAACAAAATTGTAAAATTAGGTGCCCTACTTCTGAAACTTGTTTCTGCTGCAGCTCCTCCAGAGAAGCAGGCTATCAAGGAAAGGCAGGATGTTTTATATAGCTTGATATGAGCTAATTTTATAGATTCTAATATAGAGTGCAACCATTGCAATTTTCTCTCTGTACAGGTAAAATCTGAAATTGCCCAAGCCCATGGGCCAATTAAAATTATTATTATTTTGGTACTGGGGAGCAAACTCAGGACCTTGCACTTATGAGGCAGGCGACAGAACCACTGAGCTAAATCCCCGGCTCAAAACTTAATTTTAGAAAATAGATTCGCACATAAATAGCCATCCGTACAAATTAATATTGTACAGATTAAAAGAAGATGCACAAAAAATAAATGTTCTTGGAACTTAAGAAAGAGAAGGGATTGCTGGAAAGAAAGAACTTCATCTAGGTGGCAGAATTAGAGAGGGAAATCATGGCTAAATATACAAAGTTACATATTCTGTAACAATGTATTCTCAAAGCACTAATCTTCAAACCAAAAGTTGCCTAAATTTTTTGATAAATGCATCTACATATAAGAGAACACATTTATTACCTCCTTTCTCGCTAACAGATAATTGATCTGCCAAAGAGATTTGAAGGGAAGCAGTATACTGAAAATAGAAGGCAAGATTGGCATGTCGTTCTTTTGGAAATAGAGTTTCTACTTGCTAAATGCAAACCTGACAGGTATTCCTATTTAGAATCTGTATCCTAAATGAAATATCACCAATGTACAATAAGACAGCTTACCATCTAAACAAATAAAAACTTCCTCTAAGAGCTATTCCTTAAGCCTACAATGCAATAGCCATTTTTAAATACATTATTTTACAGCAGTTTGTAAACACAAACTAGACATAACTCTAGACTGGACACAGAGGAACATTTTGTCACTCAGCAGCAGGGAAAAGAATGTTGATCCTAGGGAATTTAAAAAAACAAGAGAGAGACCTACAGGGGTGGGAATGGCCACATGAAAAGAAAAGCAAGAAGGAGGGAACTAACATTCATAGAGCACTGTCCATGCCTCGCACCATGATAGCAGTAAGAAGATAAACAACAAAATTTTTCCTTTATCCTCCTTTTAAACAATTGCAGGGCTTACAACAGGGATATTTGAATTCCAGCAAGTTAATTAGTTCAGAGATGGTTAATAAGTGGGATCTTGAAGACTGAATGGTTGATGGTGGACATGTGAGAATGGGGAGCATTCTAAGTAGACAGAACCACATATGTGAAAGTGTGTCAGGATTTGCAGATATTCCAGCTGAGCTGTGGCTTTGTGGTGCTCTTGTTACCTAATACTCCTGCTTGCAAGTGACAGAAACTCAACCTGAACTTGATAAGATAAAAGGGAAAGGGAAAATTTAGTTCAGGAAATCCAAAAAAGGGGCTAAACAATCAAACAAGTGGGGCAGTGAACTGCAGCTTTGGGAACTTTACATCTTACTACTTCCATCTCTAGGAAGAGATAAGCACTCTTTGTTTTTTGGTTGTTTGGGGTTTTTGTTTGTTTTGTTTCTGAGGCAGAGTCTCACTATGTAGTCCCAGCTAGCTTTGAAATCACTACATAGCTGATGCTGGCCTCAAACTTGTGATCCTCTTGCCTCAGCTTCTGAAATATTTGGATTAAAGATGTGCCCCCCAACACCTAGCACTAACACCCAAATTTAAAGGATAAAAGGTTTATTTAGCTCACATTTTGTAGAGATTTCAGTCCATAATTGGCTGGCTCCAAGGTGAGGTGGTATGGCAGACCAGCATTGTGGAGGAGAAACAGTTCATGGTGAGCAGAAGGCAGAAGGCACTAAGCTACAAGTCTAAGCAGACAGAACCGCATGCGTGAAAGTGTGTCAGGATTTGCAGCTTCTTTCTGTTCCTTTTATATTCTATCTAGGATACCAGGCTGGGGGGGGGCACCAAGCCGATCAATGAACTAATTTAGTAGTCACACACCCTTAATCCCAGCACCACACGTTCTAGATCCAGCCACCTCTGAAAAAGCCCAGCAATGACTGCAGGAGGCTTTGAGGGAACATCTAGACACAAGCATAACAGTAGTACAACCTATGGGTGCTCAACCATGGTGCTTTTCCCTTTTGTATTTTGAAACAAGTTTTCACTAAATTGCCCAGGCTGGCCTCGAACTTGCAATCCTCCTACCTCAGCCACCTGAGTAACTGGGATTGCAGGAGTGCATCACCACATCCAACAAAAAGGGCTAACTCTCTTCAAGTTTGAAAAACTCTGGGGGGAAATGCAGACTGGCTAGGCATGGCTCAGTGCTTGTCCATCAGTCTCAGGGAGGGCAGAACACATCACAGCGTTTGAGAACAAGTAGAAGATAATCTAAGCTGTGGGGAATGAATAAGGTCAGAAGTCGGCATCAGTACAAGCAGCTGATCATCCAAGTTAGGGGGAAGTTGGCCCCAAATTGTAGTAACATTTGCTAGACCATCAAGTTAAAATGGGGTTGAAATTTTTATGGCATTGCTTGAGTTGGTTAATGTTTTGGTGTTTCAATGAAGATGTTGTAAAACATTGCAGATTTCTCATATTGATTTAAGGGCTGTGGAATCTAGGATCCTTCTTCACCCTTCTAGCTAGGTGACTTTAGAAGAATATTTTAACCATCCTGAGCCTCTGTTTCCTACTGAAAAATAATAGTAGCCATGATAGCTGACATCTATTGAATCTCGGTGCTGGGGATTGAACCCAGGACCTTGTTCATGCTACACAAGCATTGTCCTACTGAACTGTACTCCTCCCTAAGCACTTTCTGAACATTTCAATAAATCATCAAAACAAAGCTATAAGGTTCTATAAACCTGAGATAATCCCAATGACAGGTTATTGTAAGGATTAAACAACTTGCTGGATATGGTGCGTGCCTGTAATCCCAGCATTCAGGAGGCTGAGGCAGAAAAATCATCAAGAGTTCCAGGCTAGTCTGGGCTACATAGTGAACTCAAGTCAAAGTCCTGTCTCAAAAGAAAGAAAGAATCCATGTAAGATGCATAGTCCCTTTCCCTGACCCACAGCCAGCACTCAACACATTATTATTTTTAATTATCTGTTGCCCAGAAAAGGAAACTCCCTGTATTTCATGATTACCTTAAACAGTAGAAGCTTTGGGAAAGCAAGAGCAACAACAAATGAAAGAGAAGAACTCCTAGACTCCTATCTCTGGCATCAAAGTGGGCAGCTAGGATATGATTTAGTAAGGATTAAAACAGGCCAATAAGAGAAATACTATGAATAAATTAAAAGTAGGAAATTGAGAAATGTGACCGTGGAATATCAAATGAATGAGAGTTGATCAGATTTCTTATTGTTTTTCCATACAGGATAGAACCTCCACCACTACCACCCCCCAAAAAAAGCCTCTCTGTAAAACTGATCTAAAAGACCATTTGAAGTTTTTTATCTCTTTGACCTGAACACTGTCAAACAGCTTGAATCATTCAATCAAGCAAAGGAACTGACACAAAAACCAGTGTGCCTTGGGCTTTATGCTGAGCTATTTATCCACAGTACATTAATGTCTTTTGCTCCCTGAACTACCAATAAAGTGGATGCTTTCCCTGCATTATGTATATATATGGATGGAGGCTGAGAATTCAGAAAGACTTTATGCTGATTACCTGCTAATAAGCAGCAAGGGAGGGATTCAAACACTTCAAATAAGGTTGGGTTCTGTGGTACATGCCTGTAACTGGGAGGCTGAAGCAGGAGGACTGCCATGAGTTTGAGGCCAGCCTGGGTTATGATACAGGGGGAAGGGATGTAACTCCCAAATCTGCTAGATATCCGAAACATGAGTCTGTGCTCTCTAAAATCAAAGAATGAATTCCAGGAATAACGTAGGTTAAGAGTAGGAAAAAATTATTGAGGGAAAGAGCTTCTGTCTAAGAGAGACAGAAGGGGGACCAGACAGTGGGTGGCCCACTCACCCCACTTCTCCAAGATGTTTTATACAGGAAAGCCATGGGGTGAGGTGGGTACAGAGTGGGACAAAACTATAAGACCCAGTGGGAAATTACACTTGGGGCTTGAGGTGGGGCAAAACCATGACCAACCAATAAGATTACAAGTACAGTCAGCTAGGTAATATTGATTAAGTGAGGGTCAAATGGGGGAGCAAGTCACATAGCAAGGGTACAAGGATTTTCAGTAAGGGTGGGGTCAGGGATATTCCCTGGAAAGGCTGAGCTAAGACCCGACCCAGGTGATTGAAACCTGTTTAGAATATTAATCACTGCTATTTATCCCCTGGGGAAGCACAAGGGCATAGCAGTTTCTCTCCTTTTACAATCCTGGCCTTCAGAGAATGTGTCTTGATTGTCCTCCATGTTGGCTCGTGGGCTGGCCCTGACTAACTGCCTACAAGATATCTAATTAACTTATCTATCTGCAATAGTTAGATAGTGAGTTTAAGGCCAGACTGAATTACAGACCCAGATTCTGGCTAAATAAAAAAGTCTAGGATACAAAACAAGGCCCACTTTCTTATCTGGGAGAGATAAGGCAAAAGCATTACCAAAATCTGAAAGTACTAGTGAAACAAGAGGAACTCTCAACTTCTCTTTTCCTCACCTTTCACCTTCCTTTAACAGATACCGCCTTCTGTCTGCCCAGGGCAGAGGGAAGCCATTTTTCCCACTTGTGGATACACAGTCCCCGAGCTCCTGAGAGCTGAGACTGGAGCTGTCTTTTTCAGGGCCTAGAATCAATCAATAAATATGTGATGAATAAATAAAGCATTCTGAAATGCGTGGCTGCTTCTTACTTCCCCTGGGCCTCAGATGTACCCCATGAATGTGCCCTTGTTCCACATGACAAGATTTTTATTTATCTTGAGCAAAACATTCTTTCCTGTCTCCTCCCTCGCTGAGTGAGGCTGACCCTCCAGCAAGGTCAGAAAGAACTGAGAGCCTCAGTGAAGAACACTGAACCCCATCATTAGGAACAAAGCTTTCAAGGGCACCAAGGGAATGAAAATGAACAAGTTTGCGGGTATGTGGCAGCCAGCGTGAATTACTACGCTGTTCCTTGAGAAATATTCGCCAGCCTTTTGGGGATCTACAGATTTACGGATATATATGCTTCTGTTTGCAAACTAAAGCTGTGAAATAAAACGAGACACTGATGATTCATACAGCTGACAATTCCATGGATATATTAAGCTTCAGAAATGGCTTGAGTGTGGGTCAGGCAACATCATTGTCGTGGTGCATGCCTGTAATCCCAACACTCAGGAGGCTGAGGCAAGAGGATCGCTGCAAATTCAAGGCCAGCCTGGGCCTCACAGTGAGAACCTGCCTCTAAAACAGAACCAAAAAAGCTCACTAATATAATCATGCAAATGGGCATCTCTAAACTGGGATTCAGCCCTTCCCAGTCTCCAAATAAAATATACCTAAATTTCTTTCAACCCATATTTCCACCTCTATCCCTTTACCCAATCTGCTGAGGAATCCTTTTAACCTGTACACCTTTCCACAGACTAGATTTTGCTTGCTCATTGTGTACTGTCCGTGCAGTTCAGCATACTTCTCTGTCCTGTGCATTTCCTAAAAATCTGTAGCTTTGTTCAGGTTGGATTCGATTCAGGTTTGGTCTTTTGCCAGGAGAACACATTAGCAAGACCTTAGGACAGTGATGGCAAGCCTATTAGAGCTTTCAATGTAACAGCTTGCTGCACATGTGCCGTGGGTTCTCCACCAATACCTTAGGAGGGGCCCAATCTTCTCCCTTTTCACGAAGTTAACAGCCACTCACACCTAATGTCTATATCTGTTAGTTTATTGAGGATCGTTACTTGGTGATATTCTAATTCAAGTGTTGGTCAACTATTGCCAAATCTATCAAACTTCCTCTATTTCCATAAATAACTTTTTTTGGGGGGGTACTGGTGATTGAACCCAGGGGCTCTACCACTGAGCTATTTCCCCAGCCCTTTTCTTGTTTTTCGTTTTGAGACAAAGTCTCACTAAATCGCCCTAACTGGCCTCAAACTTTGAATCCTCCTGCCTCATCCTCTTAAGTAGCCGGGAGGCATGTGCCATCTCATACAAAATTTTATTGCCCAGAAGTGACATACACACAATAAAATCCCCAAGATTTAAGGTCTAGTATCTCTAATAGATCTAGATACCAGAGGACTGCTGGTCCCCTCTGGGGTCCTTCTGTTCCCCTAGGCTAAATGAAATTAGCTATAGGTCTCCAAGAGTCACAAATTCTACAGTCCTCTCTCCCCTCTGGCTCAAAGACTGTCCCCTTCCCTCTCACTGCTTTTACTCTCCCTGCCCTAGGATGCTTAACCTCTTCTTCCTGCAGAAAGATCCCTGCAAGAAACTCAAACTTTTTAGAAATCAAACCCAGGACAGCAAACTGCCACACGTAACACCTTCTCTCAGCCCTGCAGTTTACACTTATTTCCTGCAGCACAATCCTGTCCACCTTCTCAGGTAAGTGAGAAGAAAATCCTAATAAGTAAACAAGTGATTGTTATTCTTTATTTTTTTAACAAGCAAAAGCAACACAGCACACCTCTTAAATTTTCTGCTATACCTTATTGACTATCTCAACTAAACCAAAGTACAAAAATTTCACACTATCTGAAAGAAAATGGGTGATCTATCTTTTCAAGAAGGAAAAACAAAAAATAAAGACAGAAGTAATGTAGCCTCTCTCCTGAGTAAAAAAAGCCAGGACTGTGACAGCTCTCTGAATACCCTGGGACCTCTTAGAGTCCCCAAAAGTCCTGCCTCATCTTTATTTTTTCCAGTATTAAAGACTGAACCCAGGGTCTGCTGTATGCTAGCTAGCCAAGTGCACGGCTATTGAGCTACATCCTCAGTCTTTTTTCAAACTTTGAGACAGGGTTGAAGTTGCTCAAACTGGCCTTGTATTTGCAAATCCTCCTGCCCCATCTTCACTAGTGGAGGGGATTACAAAAGTGCACCACCATGCCCAGGGCCTTGTAAACAGCCCTGCAAAACAGAATTTTAGAAGTTAGATCTTTTTTTCTTTTTAAGATAAGCAACTTCTTCAAACTTCCTCCTGCCCAGTACTTAACCATCACCAGCTCCTCCTGCTATGGAAGATCCTGAGCTGGTGACCTGAGGCAGATAAGCAAGCAGACCTCAGTGTAGGGACCCAGGGAGCAGTAACAGCCTCCTCTTCTGTTTTTTTTTTT